TGCATAAGTGTGGTTTTACCTTTAGCATTTTGCCTAAGATGAAATTCTTTTCATGGAGTGATCCCTTATGTTTATTAACCCTTTGCTAAAATGAGATCATTCTTATCTCATAACCTTACCTTTTCAACTAAATGTCTTTAATTTATTTGCATAAACATGATTTATGGTTCTGATCTTAATTGAATATTAAAGAGTTGGTTGAGTTGAGCATTTACCTAGGTTGAGATTTGAGATCATTTTGAAACATGATGAGCATGGCTAGGTTCTTTAAAGTATAGCTGATTATGTTTGCTTTCAACTAAAACCCATTTGGATTGACATTAAAACCCAATACTACAATGACTAGTACAATGGGTGATTGACCAAGAGAGTCAAAACTCTTGTATCAATAGGAAAATGAGAGAGCTCGCCATGATGCTCGCCGGCAAAAAAAAAAATTCGAAAGACCTTAACCGCTCGTCTAGCGCAAACAACTGGTTCGGTTCGACTCGTTCGAAGGCAGACGTCATCACAGAACCCAACACCACGAAAACCATCAATCAGAGATCAGATCTAGCAATCAAACCAAGTTCAAAAGCAAAAAATCAGCGGTCAACGAGTTTACCTTGCGGGTGCCGAGTGAGCGGGACGTTGACATCCGACAGCACCCTCCAAATGAAGTATCGCACCAGCCAATTGCGATTCCAGATCGGTCCCCGAAGATGGGGATGGCACAGCCGCCTCTGGTGTGCAAAGTGTAGCAGAGCGCATCAGCGGTGAGATTACAGAGCTGGTAGGACAGCAACACCATGGAGCCACGCACACAGACCCCATACATGTCCGAGAGAACCTGGTAGGCGCAAAGAAGCCACCACGCCAAAAGGTGGAGCTGACTAAGTCATATGCCGACGAGGCGGCAAAAGTCGATCAGCATCCAAGGAAGGCTGCCATGGAAACTGTAAGAAATGTAGTCATCGTAGATCGCCCTGTCTTCCCCAGCAGGAAAGATGGGGGAAAGGCCGGAAGAGGAAGGGTCATTCGCCCTCAAAACTATCTCCAAAGAGTTTGATATGCACACCGACAGAGGCCGGTTGCAGGGTGAGGCTGCTGAAGGTGCTCCGGCCGCACTATTAGCCTCGCTGTCGGACCACAAAAAATGCGTGTTCCACTCGCCGGATGATAAAATCGCTGATGACATCTTAATTGAACGAAAAGAGAGATAAGAGGCCAAAAGGTTTGAGGAAGAAATGAAAAATCTGCAGATTGCTTCAGAAATAGAGTAAGACCATGAAAGCATAGATTCCGCAGAATTTATAGGAGAAGGAAGAAATCGTGTCTCTCAGGGAAAGCTAAAACACGGGGGCATTCTCCTAATTATAGGCTTTTAGAGCCATGCCATCGAGGTGATGTGCATTCAATGAAGAGGGAGACGGACAGCCCATTACGCCAGAAAAAAAGCAACCGACGGTTTGCAGGAAGCAAGGTGTGTTGTGTGACATGACACATAGGAGCTCGCCACGTGGATCGCACTCATCCTACGTCTGAACTCCACCCCAGAAAAGGCCCAAACGACGACTACCGGTTCTGTCGAAACCAAGAGTAACCCTACTGACAAAAGGTCGCAACGGTATGAAACTCGTGTCTTTACAGGAAAACCACCAACCATCCGCAAGCAATAAGTAGCCTCGGGGATGGGTTGCACGAAGTCCGTGCGCGGGTCAAACGTAACCGCCCGAGCATATCGAGCCCCATGGCAGGTCATACGGAACCCGTGGCTGTAGACGAAACGTGACCGTCTTGAAAAAACAATCTGGACTTACGAACGGCTCACAAGGTTACGTCATTCCTGCATGCATGATCCTCTAATTTCTTGCTTGCATAATTATGTGATTTTTTGTTTGCATGATTGTGTGACTTCTTGCTTGTATGATTGTGAGATTTTTTGTTTGCATGATTATGTGATTTCGTGCTTGCATAATTGTGTGATTACTTGTTTGTATGATTGTGTGATTTCTTGTTTGCATGACTGTATGATTTCCTGCTTGCATGATTGTGTGTCCTGCTTGCACGATTGTGTGATTTCTTTCTTGTATGATTGTGTGATTTCTTGCTTGCATTATTGTGTGATTTCTTACTTGCACGTTTGTATGATTTCTTGCTTGCGCGATTGGTCGATATCTTGTTTTCATGACTGTATGATTTCCACTCGCATGATGATGTGTTCTTTCTCGTTTACGTATCATCGACATTCGCCCTTCAGTTTGCATAACTCTTTTCAAAACCCCTTTTCTAGCATCCCTCGCAGACTTGCTTATCCTCCGGGACATCATTCCTCCAGGAATTCAGGACCCCAGTCCAGATCACCCTTGCGGCTCTTCCTGCGTTAGCTCCGTCTGGGGACAGAGCGCGCCCTAAGCATGCTCCCCCGTATACTTGCTCGCCCTTTGAGGCATCCCTCCTCCAAATGTCTGAGGCTCCGGCCTTGCAGACCTCTAAGTCTTCCTTGTCAGTCCTCTCCAGCGGGTCCTACGATAAAACAGCGCGCTCCTCCCAAGGACATGCTTGCCACTCAGGCACCACAGGAATTAAGGTCACCTACTTGCAGGTTTTCTCTTCCTGATAATTCCCTCGACCTCTTCCCTCCGGAGTTTGTCACAAGCACGTTCTTAAAACCTAGAAACTTCTGCATAAGTACAACACGAAGACTGTCCAGGCAGTAAAGGAGTCGAGTTAATGTCCTCGGGAAATGTCCTACCCCGCACCAGCTGCACTCGAGTAGCGACTCCCCTTTGCATTACCGTCCCGCGATGCAGGGAACATCTATTCATCCGCTCAATGGCGCCACCTCTGGCCCTTGGGATTGTATCTTAAGCACGTCATTGTCTCTTGTCGATCTCCAAGGTCACATAGGACTATAACCTCTCTCGTGACCCCGGCGAGAGGGGGCAAGACGGCTTCTTGTCTAGTGCCCCACGAAACAAGAAGTAAAATCCCTTCGGGGAGATGTCCACCAGTGGGCGAGCAATTAGTTCCTCCGGGAGCGCCAATATCCTCCTATCCTGAGCAAGTAACATACTTCCCCGGATGCGTACCCTAGTTAGGTTAGGACCCAATCACCTAGCTCCCCCGGCTAATGACGTACTCCTCCGGATGCGTGTTGAAGTCAGGACAAGTCCATTATCATATATTTGGTCTGACCGTCTCACGGTTCGCTTCCTCCATAAGTGTAATTCCTTCGGCCAGTAATGTACTCCCCCAGATGCGAATGACGCCGGAGTTAACATCTATTAAGCCACCCCACGGCTCGCTTCTCCGGAAGTGTAATTCCTTCGACCAATAACATGCTCTCACAGGGCATACAAATAAAGTTGGAGTTAAAACTCTTCTTTTTTTGCTCCTCCGACTAGAACCGCACTCCTTCGCGATGCGTGGCAAGGTCGGAGTCAATGCCCCCTCTCGTGCTCCCCTGAGAGTTAGGATCCCAGCTAGTACCCTACTCCATCGGATTGTGTGGCACGTTTAGGGGGAGTCTTTATTTGAATATAGCTCTTAAGAACTTAGCTTCGCCCAGATTGGTACTATACCCTTCGGGATACGCGATAAGATAAATGCGTTAATACGGCCGTTAACGACAAAAACACCTAGGGAACCGGATAACTTATGCTTACTGCATAGGAAACCCAAAGAAAGTCGACTCTCCGACTCATTTCCCAACTGTTGGGACCGATTTTACCAGAACTAGGGACAGTGTGACACATGGACAGTGAACCACCATAGACGCTGACATGGCTAACTAGCTCGGCCAACAACCCCCTTACATTATTCCCAGACAGTTGGCGAGCTTCCTGAAACACACATGCAACACCAGCTCACCTGCTCCTCTAATACGCCGAATAGAGAGGACATGACGGAGAGAAGCCTGTACAAAAGGAAAGAGATCCCACAAAGAGGAGGGATGACGAACGGTGAAGACGGGAGGAATGGAGCAAAAGAACTCCTTAGAATCCGATCTAAGGAGGAGATAGTTCAACCGCTCTGGGTCAGGTCACGCTGCCGAACAGCATAATCGAGAGGGAATCTCCCATTCCCTCGAGATAATGCCTATCAGGATAAGTTCTTTCTCAAACCGGAATCACGCCTTTATACTCGCTGAACCCTTTTTTCATGCTATAGAACCTCCTCAAAACACTTGTAAACAGATAGATGTCTCGATCCCCAGAAGAGATTTCTCACCTAAATCTGTATAAACACCCTCATGAGTATATGTTCCCGGTAGGACGTTCATTGACTTGGGCGTCAAAGAACTTTCGAGAAGAAAATCCATTTTCGGTCTTCCCGACGGTCCAGCTGATATTTTTTGTGTAGTATTTGCAGGTTCAGGTCAGTCCTCTCTCACGTAGTTGGGACCCTAACCGGTTTCCATCCCGAAATGACTCGTCGCTTTTCACCTGAAAGACGGAACTTGAAAACATGACTCTACTCTCCAAACAAATAACATATCCCCACAAAACATCTTAAAATTTATTCCGGAACAATCTATATAATTAATATAAATTATGGTCTCAACAATTAATATAAATAATATATGATATAATTATCTTTGTAATAAAAATTTATTTTCAAAAAATTTATGAAAAAACATCAGTGAAATAACACCATTTTAATTATTTATAAAAATTAATTTAACTTTTATAAATATTTCTCAATTAATATATACAAATTTTAATATATAAAAAATTTAGAAATCGACGTTTAAAGAGTTAATGGATGTTGAAAAAAAAAACGACGTTTGGTGTAATAGTAATGGTCTAGTAAAATTCTAACCCATATCTTTCATTTTCGGTTCAACTCGATTTCGCATTTGTCTCGGTTCGGTTCGGTTAAATGCGCAATCGTATCCAAATCAACAAAATCTAATAGCTTCGTTACCCTAAACTCTCTATCTCTCTCCGATCGACGCCAAACAGAGCCGATCACTCGACGCCGGCTAACCGAAACAGTACCAATTTCCACCGGAGAAGATGCAACAGAGGAAGCCGACGGCGGGTAGACCCAGTGGTACCGATGGATCGGATTTCTCGTACCGAATGGTCGTTGACTCTCGTAAGTTTACAAATTCCAAGTCTCCTCCGTCTCCGATTCCATTTTTTTCTCGATTCCTTCTTCTTGATCCATGCGCCTTGGTTTGAATTTTTGGGTTCTTAGGTTACACGAAGGTCACTAAAGGGAAATCTCGTCTTCGTCCTTTGATCTTAGTTCAGGTACTCTTCGTTTCCCTTGTGTGAGAAATTGAAATCTCTTTGATTGATCCCGAATTCGATTTATCTTGTAGCACTGAATTTATAATTCACATTTGGTTCTGAAAATTTATCCACAGAATTCTCAAAATTAACCAAGTGTTTATCTAATCTCTACGAATAGTTCGCATTTCGTTCCCATTTTCAACTTTGATGTCATTGAGATTGTAGTTTTGTTGAAGTTGTGTGGAATTTAGTTGAGAAGTTTTGAGATTATCTGAGAAATGTATCTCTTTAAGCTCAAATCTTTCAGGTTCTTGTTTACAGGCTGCGCTATATTTGATTGGACTATCTTGTGCAATTCTGACAACAACTAAAAAGGATGAGAGGAACACACTTGCGATTGCATCTGCTGCTATTGGCTTAGTGTGTTCATTTATTGGAGAATTAGGTTTAACCTTCTTCTCCTCTTCCGCTTTTTTTACGCATAATCAAGAACATTCTTTCGTTTTTGGGTTTCTTTATATTTGTTGGTATTCTCTGTTTAATAGGTTGCAGACGCAGCAAAGCAAACCTTTTGACTCTCTACACTGCTGCATCTACCATTGTCATGGTTCTTTCTGTGTTCTGTGCTGTTAGGAGCAGATTAACAATGGAGGTAAGTCGCATAACTCAAACATACTTTGGTCCTTTAGCTGTTAGTTTAAGCTTATCCTAGTTAGAAATACATTTAAAGAATTGGGTAATGGTCCAAAGAAGAAAGGATTTTACTTTCCTAGTCTTGAAAAATAGGTGATTGAGCTTGGCTTTGATACTATCAATGAATGTTTTAGGAACGGAATAGCTCTGGAACAACAGCGAAGCTTGAGCTCGTAGGGTTCATTTGTGCTCAATTAGGTAAAACTTCAGGAATATTCTCTTCGGTTTCTCTTATTGTCTACACTTAGTTTCAACTTGAGTGACACATTCGAGGGTTTGTAATAGATCTTTCGGGTTGTTTTTGTCGAATGCAGAAGCGGTGGTGCAGATATTAGCGATCATCGTTACGGGTTCTCTTGTGAATAATATGTCACCGCCTACCAAAACAGCATAGAGAAACAGAGGAATTGTGGGTATTGTCATGTGTGATTCTCCTACATGAAAGAAGATATTTGAAGTTTTGAACCGTTTAGTTTTTTTTTTTTCCACCAAATGAATAGTTTATATAACGTTTACTTAAAAACTCTTTTATTAATCATTCAAACACACATTATTGATAGATCGATGCACCATACGCAAGTCTTTTTTTCCATGGAAATTTCGAAAATACAATTCACTTGAGGATAAGTAACCTAAGAAATATCGTCAAACCATTTTGGTAGATCGATGCACCAAACAAAAGTCTTTTCAATTCGAGAATCTAAATGCTTAAATAGCTTATAATCCTAGGTCACAGGCGATGCAGGAGAAGATAAGAGGACAGGCTTCGAAACACACTAAGAAGTCCATCTAAAACATATATAAAGCATAAATTGCATCCAAATATAACCAACAACTCTTAAAACCGATAAAATCCAAAACCAAACGGTCTCGTTTGGTTTGCCGCCAAAGAGGTTAAGATGACTTTTGTTTCACGTTAAGATTCATCTGTGTGAATCGTAAAATGCAAAAGTCAAACGCAATAAAATTTGTTTGTTTCGTGGAGTTGTCTGTATCTTGCAAAAGGTCGTATGAAAAAATAATTAACGACATATTTTATGATGAATCTTGTCCCTTGGTTAGTTTCTTAACCACAATGTTCTCTTTAATTGAAGATGGGTACATTGATTATCCAAAAGTTACGTTCTCATGGTTAACAAAATAACAATTCAATTCACATAGGAAAATGAATTAATTCGTCGGCGATACCTAAGGGAAGCAATATTAGTTAATCATAGACGACGACAATGTTAATTATAATTAAGAATAATGGGCGAATATTATTGGATGAGACTCATGGTCATGTTGTTTTCCAGCCAAGAACATCAAGTGGCCCATGTTAATGTTTTCTTCAATTTTCATATATTCCATTTTTATCATCAACGTACGTTTTTCAATATTATTCAAATATAAGTATTATCTGATTCTATGATAATCAGGGTTCCTATGTGGAAGCTGTAGTAATCACATGTAAGCTAATTGTATCATACACAATTATAGTAGCATTGTTGGTATCTCGCTAATGGGTTTTTTTCTGCGTGTAAAGTTTATTTCAGTTTTTGCTAATTTGTATATATTATGCTCTCTATTTTATTTTTAACATAAATAGTTTGAGAAGACTCTTGTGTACTTCTAAGTACCAACAGATGCAAATTCACTAGTCACTACGATAGAATAAGATGTTGAAATGTCAAGCAAAACTTAGTCATAACACGTAATGGACGCATCCTAACTAACACGTATAAATTATAGTAGAGGTAAGAGCATTTCCATCGGAGAATTCTTAAGTAAATATCTGATTATTAAAATATTTAAAAAATGGAAAAACGATTTTCATATTAGAGATCTTAACTATTTAGAAAACTTGTCCTTTCTGCTGTCAAAAAAAAAGAAAACTTGTCCTTTCATTAATTGTTCAATTTCTTTTGTAAAACTAAAATTTAATTACATAAATAAATCAAATTAAATATTAATACTTTATTGTCTAGATACTTGATATGGATCTCAAATTAAGTATATAGTTTTCTTTTTGCTAGCAAGTAAATAAATACAATGCATTCGCAATTAACATATACAGAACATTATGAAACACCCTCTATTCATGTTCAAGGACCCGCGTCACCCGCTAAACATAGATAGAAGTTTTGGACTCTTTTACATGTTTTGTTTTCTTTCTTGAAATTAGAATCACATTGGAAACCTTTGAAATCATTTATTTAAATATATACAAAATAATAGATAAAACATTTGGAATTTCCGCGTTATACAAAACAGTTTAAACAATTGGGTATAAGTAGATTGTATATATTCTTCACACATTACTCTCAGTTTCATATTATTTCAAATCAATTAAACTACAAACAATTTAGAACAAAAAAGCATATACATATATATCTATATATATTATTATTATTATCTAGTATTACTGTTCCATATATTATTTTTTTTCAAATAAGAAACATCGATCTTGATTATATGTCGCATAAATTGTTTATGTAATAATTTGTTTTAAGTTTTGTATATTGATTTTGTAATCTTCTTTTAATATCAATAAAATTATTTGACAAAAAAAAACATCGATCTTGAAATTTATAACAGGTCAATTTGCAAATAATCAAGTCTTTGAATAATTAGGGGAGCGAGTTATTCCTCCGAAAGAGGAGATCTAATCCATGTTCATTACATCACGTGCCACGTACCTCACATTTCATTAGGCTTAAATGCCGGAATATACTTGTAATAATGTTCTAGCTAGTTTTATTTGCAGGCAATGTAAGATTTTCCAAAAAAAAAAAAAAAATTGTTTTCTCATTTCACACTACATATTTCGAAAACTATTATCTCCTTTCACACTCTAAGAAGTGTTCTCGTCAAAGATAACAACAAAACAATCACGTTTGACGATAGTTGCTGAATATATTATATATGTACTCTTACTATTAAAGGCAATTTGACTGCAATACAGTAGTTAAAGCAAAATGAGCATTTTGGTATGTTATCTATATATTATAACTTAATTAGGTGAAAATGTGAGGAGTTAATGAGATCGGTACTCTCTAGTCTATAGCAAACTCAAAATGGTTGAGTCAAATATTGTCATTAAATGCATATAATAACAATGAGGACTGATATTAGTGGCCCCGTTGAGTACACACACTAATTAACCATATCAAGGGAAGAAAAACATAACCGCAACGAAGTCGTCTTTACTCTTGTGAATATATATATAATTCAAATATATAGTTGAGAGTTGAGACTTGAGAGTTGACCATGATATATTATACGATTTCTTGAGTAACAAAACTACACAGGCATACATAAATGATTTGTTGCTATATAACGAAACCATATTTAAATGTTACATATAGATCGATATAATTAACCATCTTCCTACGTTAAAAAAAGAACGAGATCATTCATTTCCTTCATTTAATATAAAACCAAATGTGCACACAACATACAACATAGTTCCCAATTCGCCCCTATAAATTTGTTCATACCCTAAAAGAAAATGGAAGCTGCCACTATCAAGATGTCGAAATTCCTCTACTCTCTAACGCTCGTCTTCGTTTTCCTAGCAACAACAAGCATCCACAAAACATCAGCCACTCCACCACCCTACACCCAAAACCACAAAACGTTCGTGAAAACGGCATGCAACTCGACAACATACCCCGACAAATGCTACAAGTCCTTATCCTCCTACTCCTCGGCCATCAAATCCGACCCGATCAAGCTATGCGCCACCGCGCTTAGCCTCACCGTAAAATCCGCAAAGGACGCGGCTTCCACCGTCTCTAAGCTTCTCAAAAAGTCTCAGAAATCCGCGGCGGGACGAAGAAATAAAATGCTACCGGAGACGCTTATCCTCAAGGACTGCCTCGAGGAGATGAAGGACACAATTGTTGAGCTCAAGCAAGCCATCACAGAGATGAAGACTCTACGAGATGGTGACTCCGTGGCTGAGCACATGGCAAACGTGAGGACTTGGGTGAGCTCGGCTTTGACAGACGAAGGGACTTGTACGGACGGGTTCGAGGAGGTGAAAGTAAATAAAGAAACGAAGAAGAAGGTAACGAAGGTTGTTGAGGAACTTGCAAGGACGACTAGTAATACTTTGGCGCTTATTACTAATCTACGCTACTAGCTAACAAATCAAATAAAATAAGATTTATATAATTTGTTGTTAATGAATTATTACTACTCCTTTGCATATGCATGTTTCTTTTTTTGGTTTCCTCACGTCAAAATTGATGCGATCATTGTATTTATTATATTGTAATATTGTAAGATGTTAGAGTTAATTTTATATAATTTCATTAGGAGTATCATATATTCATGTTTACTATGTTTTAGTAAAGTAGCCGATATACTATTTCAGAAAAATTAGAAGACGAATAATTAGGTCGACCTTACTACAATGAGCATAAAAAAAACATTCAAATGTTATTTTCTATCACATTCCTATTACAAAGTTCAACTTCAAACAAGTAAAAACATAATTCTAAGACAAAGTTGGAAAACTTTTCCTGATTTCATAACTTACATGATCTTTTCTTGATGTTGAATCCTCTACTCTTGAACTACTTGCTATCATTGTAGCGTCATTGTTATCTTCTATGATACCTACAATAAATTTAAAATGTGAATTAGTAACTATATGTAGATATAAAACAAAAAATCTTGTAAATCAAAACATTTTATCCTCATAATCCGCAAAACAAGGTAACCAATTCCGAGTACATATTAAAGCTTGAACGTTGTCTGAAACAAACAGTTTCTATAAGGAGTCAACACCCAAAATCCAATGCTGAAAGCTGACTCCGATGCTACTGTCGTGATCGGGATGCTGACTAAATCACGTGCCATAGTTGCTAAATCACCAAATCGACATTGGTTATCCTTCCAATAGCTCAAAATTTCCAAATCTGGAAATAAACTTCTTTCTAGCCTTGGCTCATGCAAATAAAGATCTAACTGTGTTTTTGTGTTGTTCACAACAATTCTAATGCTTTTTTCAAGATAAAAAAATCCTATATTTTAGCAGGACTAGTTAAAATCATATTTAATCATCTTCAAGAAGGTTAAAAAAAGTTCTTACACTGTCAAAATCATCTTCAATGGGAGATTCTGTAACTATAATATGTGGAGGTGGTATCTGTGAAACACTTGAAGAAGTAGTGCAAGACCTGAACGATAATCTTCGTAGAGAGACTCCATTTACTTTTTAAGTTTCTCAACTTTCCACTCTCAAAAGTAATGAGATCCACTGCTTCATAAGATTTTTCAATCATTTGCAATTTCAGTCTTGGATCTAACACAACTCCCCTAGCCAAAACAAGGCTGTACTCCTTCTAATAATTATCAAATTTAGCCTGCATAATCTTAACCATTTCTTTCAAAGCATCATCATCACAACACAATTGGCATATTTTTTCAACAATAGCTCCATCCTCTATACTTCTGTGAAATACACATTAGATATGGGATACTTAGAACCTCAAAAGTGAGTAGTAATAACACTGAAAGGCTTTAAGAACTCTAATCTTCTCTCCACGGTTCCAATCATCTTCTGAAGGCAAAAACTTATAGTTTGTGTCATAAGATTTCATACTAACAAATGCATTTCTAAACTTTAACGTCTGGATAAGCATTTCATAAGTAGAGTTCCATCTAGTAGAAACATCAAGTGATAAAGACGCTCCACTTCTAATTCCTACTTTCTCTACACATGCAGCAAATGCTTCTTTCCTTGTTTGAGATACTTTTACATATCTAACACTTTTCTGAATATAAACCTTTTTCACTATGAAATTGAGAATATGAGCACATCTCACTTGCACAAATTCGCCATCACATAATAAGGCACTGCCACTCATCAATTGAAGCCGACCCTTGAGGATTCTCAGCATTAATTTTTAATTTAAGGAAATATATATTCAAAAATATACATATAAATATTAATCCTTATAAAAACATACTTCTATTCTAAAAAGGAATATAAAACATATTTTTATTTTTTAAAAGGAAAATAAAGACAAAAAAAAATATAAAATTATTTTCAGTTTAAGAAAATATATGTTCAAATATTAAATCCTTATAAAATACTTATTTAACTTTATTTTTTATTTTTTCGTATTTAATTTTTTTTATTGTGTCGTAACATGTTAGGAATCTTCTCATGTTACGTTTTTGAGTATCACATTAAGCTCTTTTGCTCATTTCTTAATATCTTTAGTGTTATTGATGTTTTTTGGATAGATCTCCAGCAACAAAATCAAGGTCAAAGGATAAAAAAACTGGAAAAAAGCTCAAAATGCATTACCAAAGGCTAAGAGGAATAGCAGCTAGTGCTTATAATCCTGTTGTAGGAACATTTCAAGTTTTTGATTCAGTCTCAATTGATGATGAACGAAGGTAAAGTAGCGGAGTCTGTTCATTGGTTCTTTGACTGAGATTGTTCTCAGTGGTTTGGTTCAGCAGGAACGTCTGACGCATCATCACTGATAGATTGAAGCTCTGGTGGTTCTGTCGACTACACAAACATAGACTGGAGTCTAGACCAAGGTTTATCTCAAAAGGTTAAAGCACAGAAGCGACATGTATGATCCAAACATCAACAGGTATAGTCTAAACAGTGTATATGTATGGCCCGAACCTTGCTAGGTTCGTCGGCCCGGATCATGGTCGGACCAGGACGAAACTTGTCGGACAAAATCAAGTTAATCCATTCTATGATCCATAAGGGAAGGCTAAGTTCGAGAAAGGATAGATGATATAAGATTGGAATCATACCAAATCTTATTGGTCACAAGATGTCAAAAGTTTACAAGCTTATGGCAGAAGATGACCGTTGGTAGAGATGGAATGGTGGAACTTGTGATTGACTCACTCAATCGGTGGGTTGACTGACTCACTCAGCCGTTGAAACTAGACTTGTCTGAATCACACTAACAATTCTATTCCAAGAATCAATAGAAACAAATGAATCTCTCAAATGAATCTAAAAACAAGAATAAACAAAGCCTAAGCTTTTAGAGAAAATTTCTCTTTCATTTTCCAAAATTTTTTATATCTTTTTACAATGAGAACAATGAGCTTTTATACCTTTTACAAAGAATCTTTACAATAAGTTATATTTAAATTAATTTATTTACATTTGAACAAAAAGGAGAAAAATAAGCTAAATCAAATATTGGTCTTCTTGCCACTAATTTTGATTTGGACTTGAATGAGAATCTTTTGACTTATAAATTATGAAAAACAGATTCTAATAATTATTCACATATTGAAGACCCTTGATTTACTGATTTTTGATATTTTATCAATAAACTTAGCCAAGAATTGAAAGAAAGGTCGGGAAAAAGATTGTAAGTTAGCTCACAAAGTTTAAACAAGCTAGATCAAGGTAGAATGAGCTGAAAGACCGATCTAAGTAGCTGAACCAGATGAAGGGTAGCTCAGCCTAGCTGGAATTACATCACAATAGTCGAGTCAGCTGGTCAACTGTTTTGCTAGCTAAATGGGGAGTAAAGCTAGCTGGACGGACGATGATATAAGATTGGAATCACACCAAATCTTATTGGTCACAAGATGTCAAAGTTTACAAGTTTGTTGTGGAAGATTTTTTTTGTTGGTAAAGATGAAATGGTGGAACTTGTGATTGACTCGCTCAATTGGTGGGTTGACTGACTCACTCACTCATTGGAGCTAGGCATGCCTGAATCACACAAACAGTCATATTCCAAGAACCAGTGGAAACAAATGAATCACTCAAATGTATATAAAAACAAGAATAAACAAAGCCTAAGCTTTTTAGAGAAAAATCTCTTTCATTTTCCAAAAACTTCAATTTTATTTTACAAATGAGAATATATGAGCTTTTATAGCTTTTTACAAAAAATCTTTAGAATAAATTACATTTAAATTAAATTATATAAATTTAAACAAAAAAGAAAAAAATAAGCTAAATCAAATAAAAGTCTTCTTGCCACCAATTTCTTTTTAGAATTGAATGAGAATCTTTTGATTTTATGAAATGATGAAGACCAGATTCTAATAATAAATCCACATAATGAAGACATTTGATGTGATCGTCGTCAAGTACATAGACGAGATTTTCCGGTTACATGGTATTCCGAGAGGTATAGTCTCGAATAGAGACTCCCGGTTCACAACCTTGTTTAAGAAGGCTTTCCAAAACGCCTTAGGAACGAAGGTACACATGAGCACGGCTTACCATCCGCAGATTGATGGACAGTCAGAACGAACCATCCAAACCCTGGAAGACATGTTGTGGGCTCATGTACTCGATTGGGGCGGTTCATGGGAAGAACACTTAACCCTAGCCGAGTTTGCATACAAAAATAACTTTCAGGCAAGTATAAATATGTTGCCATATGAAGCCTTATATGGGCGGCCATGCCAAACACCCTCTGCTGGAAACAAGGGGCAGAGAGGAGTGTTATCGGCCCGGACATTGTAGACGAAACTACGGAAAAAAACTAGTTTTTAAGGATTACGATGAAGAAGCACATGATAGATAAAAGAGTTATGCGGATAGAAAACAGAAAGATATTAAGTTCACATTTGGTGACTGGGTTTATTTTAAGATGATCACTTTCAAGGAAAGGGCCAGTTATCTAAGAGGGGGTAAGCTGGACCCGAGGTATCTTGGACCGTTCATCATCCTGGAAAAAGTTGGGGCAGTCGTCTATAAGTTGGATTTGGCTACGGAGATGGCAGCATTCCATAACGTGTTCCACATATCCCAACTTAAGAAATGTTTGATCAAGATGTGATTATCCCAAAGTTATCCACTGAACTCAAGGAAAACTTGACGTTTGAAGCTAGGCCAGTTTGGATCATCGAACGAACGGAGATGATAACGAGAAGAAAGACTATCCAAATGATCAAGGTTGTTTAGGAATGCAACAGATCTGAAGAAGAAACTTGGGAAACCAAAAATAGGATGAAGCCTGAATTTCCTAAGTGGTACAAAGCTACATTAAACCAGGCGGTACAGTCAATAGCACTTGTCTCGGTTTTGAGAACGAATCCCTTTCAATGGGGAAGACATGTAACGGCCTCGAACCTTGCTAGGTTCTTCGGCACGGATCATTGTTAGACAGGGGCAAAAATTATAAG